ATGACATAGCTTGGTGTTATAACAAACCTGTTGGCAAAATATTGTCGCCAGATGAAATCCCTTATCTGGTTCTAGATGGCTGTAATAATTCCAAGGACATAAATTTAATGTGACCTCATCAGATATTCACCCCTTTTTGAGGGAAGGAGGAAAAATTAATTATGTGCATAATAAAAATTCCGGTATCATGGTGCCAGCCTCATATAAAATCATGACAATCACTATGGAGCTAACAGTCTGAAATACATATTACATAGATTACATTTTAAATATGGGAAAGATTTTTTCATTTAGGTATCACCAAAACCATGCCATCTACACAAAAACAAAATTTTTAACATTAAAACATAGAACCACTTATTTAAATATTCCATAATTCAATACAAGCAACTTTTTATGCAAAATACATATAAGTGCATGATATAAATATGGTACATAAAATTTTCGAATATACCATATTGCAAGTACACAGTACAGAATTGTAAATGAAGTATTTCTATGATAAAGCAAAATGCAATTTTTGTACATCCCCAGTTACACTTAATTAGATAAATCACATACAGGATGAAAAAACAATACAAACCATTATAATCACATCATACCAGGAAATTTTGAAATCAAACACTTATGCACTTATATATTAGGCACAATGTCGTTGAATCTCGAAATGATATTTAAGGGTGATCAAGCCTTAAACTCTAATGATTATGCTCACACAATCAAGAAATCAACAAAAGACACATAACAATAAATTTCGAACAATTTAACGTATTGCATAACTTGTAATAATGTTCTATGATAGTACAAGAAATGAGTGGAAAAAAAAAGAATTTAGTGTACTGAAGTGTGGGAGAATCTTTTAGGAGCCAAACGAAGGCAACTGATGTGAATTCTATAAATGGCTGAGAAAAAATCATTGTCAAGTGCACAAATAACATAATTTACATCATTTACTTTAGAAGAAAAAGTTTTCGAAAACCTATGCTGGAATGTAACCTTAGATTTCACATACACTATATCATTAACATTGAATGATCTTAATATGGCATTTTTCAAGTATTCAGTTCTATTTGCTTTATTCCAACATCTCATAGGCATGCTCATAACTTAGTTTTAGTTGTGTTAAAAGATCACACAAATAATATGATTTTTCCACCTGAATGGCCTTGGATCAGGATTAAACATATTAAAAGGTAATGATAATTTTCTTCCAAAATGCAGAATATTAGAAGAATAACCAGTTGAAGGATGAACAGTACCATTATAAATATTTTGATGGATAAGCAATGCATTTTCAAATGGAATACCTTTTTCATGAAGTATAAGCAAAGAGCTCTTGATGCAGGTATTAACATGTTCATTATACTCAGGTCTCTGAGGAATACAGTGAGATAATTTAATATCCAAGCATTTGGTAATCGATTCAAACACCAGTGAAGGATATTGTGTCTAAATCAAGATCATTTCTGGTCTTCCAGGTACATATATTGTAATAAATGTGCTGTAATAGTTTCAGCAGTGAGATTTTTGAGAGCTCATAAAACAAGATGCTTAGAAAAATGATCTAGAATAATAAGATCATGTCCACAATTTCGTACAGGACAACCAATACACACGGAAATAAAGTCATTTGGATATTTAGGTATTCTGATAGCTTTAAATGGAGCCTGTTTAGGAGTGAAAGATTTGTATTTGTTACGTAAATGATACGGGAGAACAAAATTCTTTGTGTCATTATACATACCCTTCTAAAAGAATCTTTCAATAAGATTTCATACGTTTTCTGAACTCCAAGATGGGATATATGAGAAATTTCTCATTTTCACAGGATTTCAGTGCTAGTGGGACAACAACTAATTCAGCATTAGGCTCTAGTGTAGAATTGGGTGCCCCTTCGATTGGCGACATTTTTTAAAAAAGTTTGGTGATGAAACCTCACTTCTGGTTACCACGATAGTTTTAACTTTGTTTTAGCTTCCCGATTTTATTTAAATGAAAATAGATTGATGTGTACATGGACATATTTAAAGCAGTGTGCCTTGCCTAGGTTGTGCAATTCTAGGATGTTTTTTTAAGTAAAAACAGATGGGATTTTTAAGTAAAACATGGACACAGATCTTGTGCAATTCTTTGACTTCTTATTTTGATTTTGTGTAGCGGCCATCTTGAAATTGTGCCTTCCTGGCGCCGATCTTGGCGTCAAAAAAGAATCGCCAATAAACAAGGGGCACCCAATTGTAAACTTTTACCCAGCATTATTTCATTTATTCAAAACAAACATAAGAAGCTTATTGAATCATTTATGAAGAAATTATGTACTTTTGCTGAATTAAGCAAGGCAGGATTTTTCAAAATGTTGGTAATTTCTGAAGTACATGGATCAGAAATTTGCTGAGCAAGATTGCTGATTCACCTGGATCTAAAGTGAATTTGTGTTTCAAACAAGCATTGCAATCTAATGATATAGTATAACAATTAGTAACAATTAGCATTTGCATAACATTAGCCACATTAATTAAAGGTACATAAAAATTATTAAATTCAGCTATTGCATCTTTAGTACATATTAACACATCATGTTTGGATAAAAACAAACAAAACACAGCAAGACAAACAATATACACTGGCTGAAAAATTAAAATTGGACCAGTTAGCACCCAATTATTTAGACATGGGAACAAAATACCATTATTAAATCAAAACAATGAGAAAGCAAGAAATATTATCTATAAAATAATATACAATTAATATCATTGCTTATAAGGTATTACACACACTGACCAATGAATTAGAAATGCAAGATCAATATTTTATTGGATCACAGTGCATATTACCCTAGGAAGAAATTGACAGATGCATATTACCTTACGAGGAAATTGACAGATGCATATTACCCTACGAGGAGAAAATTTTTAATAGCGATTTAATCAATGGATCTTGGCCATTACACTTAACTTCATGTCGAAACAGGTATTCAGTAGGTGATTAGCTAATTCTACTTTTCAAGACCACAATTTTGTACTCATAATTTCAGAGGCAGCAGGATTTTATAGACTAAGTGCATCAGTTGCAACTTAACAAAATTTGCGAGATAATTAACAATCTTATGCACATAATACCCATGCCTGCCTATGGAATATGCCTGCCATTTGTCAGTCATAATAATTGGTTCCTCTGCCATGTGCTTCTTAACCAGACACTTGTTGGTTTCTTTCCTAAGGCATGAAACCAATGACAATGAAATATGCCTAATCCATTTCCATTGAGACATAATTTCATGTTATGTCTCTCAGAACATGTTTTTGATTGAAAAATAATCCTTCTAAGACACTACAGACAAGTATCATCTCTGACAATTTCCTTAATTAAAAAAAAAAAAAAAAAAAAAAAAACATCTATTCATAGCTCAAAAATTCAGAAAAGATAACGTAGAAATCTGAAAAAAAATAACAATAAATAAGTGAAGAATAAATTACACATGAAAAAAAAAAAAAAAAAAGCAATGAATGTGTAGCACAATAGTACCAAGTGCAGTTTGACGTGCAATACTGAAATTATAAAAATGTCAAAACAAAACTAACCTTTACAGTCATATCTTTATCAATTATAACCCTTTTTTCACACATGTAATTAGTTGCCCATCGAGCACATACAATGAATTCAACTACAGAATTTACAGTCCACAAACAATGCGGTTTGGAAATCTTCTGCAGACTTTCAGTCAACAGTGGAAATGTAAAATCCTTTTTAGTAGCGGCAACATTATCTGCAACCAATGGAGCATTCTTTTTATTCACAGGCACATTTCTTGCAGCAGGTGCTTTTCTTTTACGTGACGGTTTGGATAAATATGAAGGCAGATTTGGAAAGATTGAGGGTATTGCTCCTTCTTGGAGTCTAGGGCGGCCCATTTCCAACTTGAATATTGTCCCATCGAACAACTTTCGTCTCGTAAAATTGTTTTATATCACTTTCTGCAAAATGATGCTCGCATACAACATCCTTCTCTGAAAGTATTCGGTCGGCGGCCGAGGAATTGCATGTCTCCATTTGTCTAGCAGCACAGGATCCTGTAAAATATATTTCAACAAGTATGTATAAATATCAGAATTCAGTTACATACAAAATTAAAATACTCTTGTTGTATGCAATTTTTTTAACGTGACTTTGATGCAAATTTAATATTTAATGATTAAAATTTAATTTGAAAATAGTAATGGCAAATTAAAATTTAATTGCAGCACTAACGCTTGAATAGTTTTACACATTCAAATTTAAATTTAAAATCCTTGTGCATAATGGTTCTCACTGTGCAGTGTATCAAGATTTAAATCTTAATTTTTAACAGCCATTCAATTATGTGGCATGATTTTATAATATTCATAACTTATTTAATATGCTGAATTTATCTCATGGAAAATCAATTTTTCATTACACTTATCTGCTGTTATGTTTTCACTCAACCATGCAAGTGAAGTTAATTTTAAGCAGCATAGTGTTCATTTCCATTTATTATAAAAACCTACTTCAAACGGAAAAGAAGGGGAAATGAGTTAATCTTCTTTTCTGTAAATGAAATAAAGAGGCAAATATTCCATCATTCTTGCATAATTCCAGAAATTTATTTAACTTTAAAATCTCAGGATTGCCTGCTTTCATGCACGAAATGCAAATGCACATAAGTTATGTGAAATATTTAACTAATTTCCAATTTAAAGTTCTGTGAAATATTTAACTAATTTCCAGTCTATTACTTTTTAAATACCCTCTTATTTACTAGCAACCCAGACGTTCTGTAAAGTTATATAAATTCGTCTGACTGTGATCAGGCATGATATAAATGTTGCTCACCTTTGGAGCTCTAAATATACTTGGATTCTTGATTCTCAAGCTTTTATTCTTTTGCCTAACAGATGTATAACCACTGTTGCATCCGGGGACGAAGCAGGTTGCATTACAAGAATTACTCATAAATGGAAATTGATATCAAATCAATATTTTCTGTATTGCTGCCTATGGCAAATCCTACGAAAAGTAGAACAGCTAACGATTGCAGCGCCCTCTATAAATAATGCGACAAAAGTGGACCATTTTTGGAAAAAGTTGTAATACCAGTTTCCCCTCCTTGTTTATACTCCGTGATCCCGACTTTTTTGGATGCATGTTTTAATTTGTCCTACGTCAATGCTTTCAAATTTTCATAAACTTTGACTTTATTCCATCATTATTTTTAATAATACTTTAAACAACTGTGCATTAGAGTTAACAATTGATTTTCATATTCCCTGTAGAGGTTTTGTCACCTTTTATGGGTTCAATACTGTTTTTATGGGGGAAAAAAGCACGTGTTTGATAAGAATATCTATTCGTACTTTTATCAGCGAACTTTGGAAGTCTTACGACATAAATTGAATATCATTAATTATTTCCATGATGTCTGTAAGTATTAGTTAAATATTACAATGTTAAACAGTGAAAAATTCTGTAGTTCTGCAGCAATTAAATAGAACGGGGTTTGATTTTTAAATAAAGTAAATTTTAGATCAAATCAAATTCTTGCAGAGGAAGCACCTCATATATTTATTGCAGATAAGAATGTAGAACTTTGAAAAAGTAAAAGATTATACAGGGAAAAGGATATTAACTCTTTGTTTGGATTCAGATTCACAATATTTGCGAAACAACGAAGCCATGTCTTTTCTATTTCCTTAGAATAATGCTAAAGAAATGGTTTAATTGTAAGAAAACTTAAAATGAATAATAACTAAAATTCGAGAGAACAGCATGCAATTTTTGAAATTAAACTTGCAATAAAATACATACGCTAACTTCTAATACTGAACTGAGTATGAGCTATATACCAATAAATTAGAAAATAATAATAATGTGAAAAATTCAGTTTTAGCATATGGAAGTAATTAATATATATAAATTTTATATAAATTTAAAATATTAAATATTTTTTCTCAGTAAAGTATCTTAAATGCAAAGTTATTACATGAAAATATTTGCCTGTGAAATAAAAAGGCATATATGTATATTTTTGTTTCGTGTGATACATTCAAACATACACGCTGCTCGACAGCTGCTAAGGAGAACAACATTATCGCCCATAGCAACCACAAACCGAAAGGAAGCAAAATGTGGAAAAATAGAAAAAAGTGCGGAATTGCTGGTAACAGATAACCAAAGACAGGGACACCCAGTACTTTGCCGTCATGTTTTATAGATAAACAGGCGTAGTCCCACGCTTCTCGCTGTGCTAAAATCCACTTCACACTATGATGTAAAAAGGAAGGCAAAGGAATAATAGTGGGCGCGATGAAAAGAACTGCATATTGCTGTGGGGGTAATACTGTGCAACTGCGTAAAGGGAGGAATTAAGTAACATCACACAGATCCAGCCGGTGTGTTTCCAGGATGTCCAGGATTGCTTTGATTTTCGTGATAAGTGCCTTTTGTTTGATGATCTAGAGTTGATATGGAATTCTGTGATCTGGATTGTCCGGAAGTCTGAAATGATGGTTGGATGTCAGTAGACAGCTCGTCAGGTAATGTTCGGGAGTTCCCGTTACAAGTAGTACGCCCTTGTTGTGCATAGTCCCCGTCTTGCCAATTTGCTTTAGCTAATACTTTTATGACTCTTTTGAGGTGAGAGGGTGGTAGGGGCATATGTTGTGAATTCCGTCTGATGTCGCGAGCTGCCTCATTTGTCAGTGAATCTTCTTGCTCATTTACTCGATTTACGATATCTGTCGTTATCCAATGGAGGAGGGAATTAAAGGCCCGTCCACACGAGGACGCTCCCGACGTAGTTGACGTAACTTTTTTGACGCCGGCGTAAATTCGCAGGACGCAGAAGACGTGAAACTGAGTACGCTCCTGTTCAGCTTTTCGCCCGCGACGCGCGCGTATAGCCTAGCCGACCCGAGTTTTATCACGTGTTTATAATCAGAAAACCTTCTTGCTTACCCGTTTCAATATGGCGTCAGAGCCACACAGAGGTGAGTTTTTGCTTAGAAATATAACTGTATACGCAATAAATAATCAACATTGTTGCCATTTTCAGATTTCGCAAACCGTAATATTAGTATACATTTAAAATTCTCATAAAGGGGAAAACTGTATCTTATAAGCAATGATCGACCAGTATATCCATATGCTTACCTATTTATAGCACCGTAGTAATAGGAAGCTAAATAAATTACAGTTTCTACGAAATCAAGTTTCTGCCTTACAAAATTCTCCTTAATTATTATAATATTGGCTATATATGTGTAATAAAAGCTCTATAATATCCCAATATTAATACACCAAAAACTAACTTCAGCATATAATAACTTCTAAAATAAGCAGTTGACTGTGAAAGAGTATTCAATAAAATACCAATTACGAAATTTGGAGGAAGTTACAACTTGTGTCATACAGCAAATCATTTCTGAAGTTTAATTAAATTACCTTTGCAGCGACTTCAACTTGTTACATTATTTTCACAAACACTGCTATCATAGAAAGCTGAGTGGTCAGCGCGTGCTTGGTCGGAGGAATGGAAAGGTGGCAAGTTCGAACTCAGCCGTAGACGGTATATTCAGTTAGCTTTCTCATTTGAAAGTGTTCTTATATTTAATAGAATCATTATATTCTTATTACCTATTATTGTTTTCGTTCTTATTTTATTCATTATTATTATGTTTTTAATTTAGTTTAAAAAATGTGCAATGCAATAGAAATCCTACGTAAAATATATCTGCACTCTTTATCATAGATCATTATAAATTCTCTCTTATTTTTACTTTATTGCATATTTATCATGCACATAATTTCTTATAAACTGTCCAAAGTTTGAACCTCATTCTAAATCAAAAATAATAAAAAGGAAAACAAAAGACCCAAGGGAGAGCGAGTTAAAAAAATATGAAGTTGGTTTTATTATATGGTGGATGGTGTATATAAAGAGAATTAAGTAATTAATCTCTTTCTAACTGTTTCCAAACCAATTTTTAAATCCTAATTTCATACGATATAGAATCTGCAGTCTGTCAAACTGGTCGATCTCATCCTGAAGGATTAAAAACAAGTATATCCCCCTCCCCCCCCCAAAATTAAGTCAATTCCTACTTAGGTCCACAAGAAAAGTTTAAAAATGCAAAAATAAATAAATAAATAAAAATCAGAACAATTTTTTTTAATTAAAAATTAAAAAAAAATTAATATGTGAAAAAGCTTATTACATCAAGTGTCCTTCACTGCAAGTTTTAAAAATTGTATTTGAACTTGAGTGGATTAATAAAAAGCATTTTATGTACTGAACATTTGAACAGGATATAGGGAGAGTGTGAACTAATATAGGAATTTAATAATTCCAGATATTCCTTTCGCAAACAAGGCACTAAAAAAACAAAATCTCTTTGAACAGGTCGCTCTAAATAAATCTTTCGGACTCTTCTTGCCATTTTTGCGGTTTTTGCTCTGCTTAATAATTTCATAATAGTAAAGTTTCAGCTATAAAAAATCATCTGATTCGGACCCTGCCGCAAACATACAGAGAACAGCGAAGTAATAAGATACAGCTCTGTTGACGCTATTTACAGCGTCACGTGATTTTTGCGCAAAATAATTCTATTGGTTAAACGCACTCTTCGCAAGCGTACTCGTTTGGACGCTTTTACGCTGTTAACGTAAAAGCGCGTTCGTCAGCTACGTTTCGAGCGTACTCGTGTGGACGGGTCTTAAGGTGTCTGAAGCGCCGTAGGTCCTGTTGAACTGATGGTATGAGAACTGTGGACTGGATTCAGTATTGCATTTAGCACTGAAAGGGTATCGCTGCAGAAACTGTTGCAGTCTGTTGATCACTGCATGAAATACTGCCATGGTTAGTGAATTTGCTTCGGCCTGGAAGACGCTACTATTGGGTGAAAGTTGTGCATTCCTTTTGC